CCCGGGCCTCTCCTGGGAGAGCAGTGAGAGTAATGGTGGGAGCCGTCCCCTGGATTAGCCACAGCTCTGTCCCGCGCCCATCCCAGCTGCACAGCACCTACCCCAGCCCCACTCCCCCTCTTACCGCAGGTCTGCCCCCCCATGCCCCTTCTCTCCCCACTCTGTTTTCACCACAAGAGACTTACCAGCTACACACAGCTGTATCAGAAATCGGATCAGTATCTGCTGATATGCCTCCTTAAAAATCGGCTATTAGTTTTGGCCCCAATATCGGTGCACCCTTAGTCCCGTGTCCCCCCCCCCCCAGTGGCCTGCACAGCCAGGCCACAGCACTGTGAGGACTGCTGGCTGCCTCTGGGAAGCCTGTATTATTTTCAGTAAGTTTTCATTTTTTTTTCTTTTTCTATTTTTTCCACGGATTTCGCGGGCATCACAATGCTGGATTTCACATTTTCTGTGAAATTGTGATTTCAGATTTATACCTCAATACTATTTCTCAGCTTTACCTGAAGTCCTATTCTAGATTTTCAAGCAGGTTAAAATTTTAACTTATTTATGAAGTTATAAGCAGTGCCACTGCAATAATCCCCAAACCTTGTTGATTTGGAAGTGTGGTTCTGTTTTGAGTTGATTCTTCCAGGAAAGTTTCCTAGTGCTTTATAAAGTCAGTATTTATTTAAAAACGATAGTGAAATGGATATATCTTAAATCATGAGGCTGATGGGTTTTGCGTAACCATCTTGGTGTGTGTGGATGACTGATCCCAGCTTCTGTGGCACTTGAAACAAACTGTACCCACACTTACTCTCAGGATAATTCTTCTGGTATGTCTTTGAGCTCTGGGCTCTTCTGCCAAGTAAAAAATCGGTGCATGTGCTTCTCAGAGATAGTACATCCACTTATCTTTTTATTGACTGCCAAATTACAGCACCTTGTTTCCCAGCTGTTTCTTATTTCCTCCACATCCAATAAAAAGCCTGTTTGTTCTTTAGCTAAAATTAACACTTCCTTGTCAGTTTAAATTGGTGCTGCTTGACCCAGGCACTCCCTGCGTACAGGGGTTTGACTAGATAGGCTGCATCCCTTTACCTGCAGATACTGGCTGTTTGATCCGCAGTCAGTTTGTCTTGTGCAAGGCATAGGCTGCCTTTATCTATTCCAGGTTTCTGAAGTTTGAAAGTTCCTGCTTGAAAGTGTTTTTGAGGACCAGGGCTTCTGAGTCTTAGTAGATTGGTTTATGTATTTTTGGTATGGTCCATTTGAGTGATATGCAGTTATCTGCTGCTTACAATTGCTGTTTGGGCATCTTTTGATTAGTAATGTAGTAAATCCATTTTGATTAATTTATATGCGTATTCTTAAAAATATTAATAATGGAACCTCCTACACTGTGCACACCAACAGACGCTGTGTTTCTTGTCCCACTTGTTTCATTGCTTCAAAAAAAAAAAAAAAAAAAAAAAAAGGGGTGTGATGCACATGAATTCCTCCATTTTCATTTTGAATCAAACCAGAAAAAGCTAGTTTATCTAACTCTTATGTTGTTATCTTCACTTGGGTAGCATGAGTGTTGGATGGTTATAATAAGTTTATCTGGAAAGGTTGCTATATTTTCGGAGGGTCTAATATTATATTGTCACTTTGGTGTAATTTTCAGGCTTGAATAGCTAGTTCTAACCTTTTCTTTTTCCTAAGAGGAAAATAAATCAAGTTAAATTTAATATACTGTATTGGGAGCTCTTCTGGACAGTCGTAAAAACATATCGTTTCCCTTTGCTATACATGTATGTTAAAGACTGGTATTTCTGTGCAACGTTCTCTTCTCTCTTTATATGTATTACATACTATTTGTCAAGATGACTACAGTTTAGTTATACTGTATTTATTTATGTTCAGCATTTTGAATTGCCTTGTTTATTCTGAGGAAAATTTTCAAACAGAATTCAATGCCACATAACCAAGAAATTGAATAGCAACTAATTGTTGTGTATTTTAACTTACAAACATTAAGTTCCATTATTTAAATTTTGGTCTGGTCCATAGATTTCTCAAACCTAGGACACACTATTAGGGAGTGGTGCATTCTTTCTGCGCACTTTTAATTTAGCTGCTCCTTTCCACTCCAAATCTGTGATGAGATCTGAAGTGCTACTGCCCTCAGCTGGTGTCTAGGATAACATGAAATTTAACTATGTATAATATTGCATACTATTCTAACATTTTAAAAATGTACAAAAATAGTTGATTGCCATATGGTCAGAATCCAGTTGGATCAGTGAGGATGTAACATTACTGTCTGGGGCATTGACTGGCTGATGGTAACTAATAGAATCTTGACATTTTAGACCAGGAAAAAATAAGGTACCTTTCTGGATGGACAAAACACTGCAGCTTTTCTCACCCTGTGTGTTTATTTCTTTACATGTTTGTGAGATCCCTGAAATCACCTTGAGAACAGGTAGTGGTAGGTAAAAGTCTCTCTAGCATATTTATGCGGCAAATACATTATATATTATGTTATTTTATGGCTTGTTCGTTGTATAGAACAGTTTTTAATTGCTTATTTTCTTTTCAGAATATCTTCACAAATCATTCACTTGATGTAAATGTCAGATGGTTAGCTGTGCTGTACTTCAAAAATGGAATTGATCGCTATTGGAGACGTGTAGCGCCACAGTAAGTTTTGATGTTTTCTCTATTTATGTTTGTTATATAGTAGATTTTGTTGTAGTTACACAAAAACAATTAAAAAAATACATGACATATAGGTAGGGACTTACCTAAATCACAGTTTTTTGGATTTTGCAGAAACCATGAGAAACAGCATTGTCTGTGATTGCTGGGAAGTCCAGCATTGGCTATGATTTTCCGCAAAATCAACCCCACCAAAGAAAGTGGTAGTGATATAGATTGAGTGAAGGTGCCCTCCACCAGTCGGTGGTGAGGGGTGGGGCCTCTGGGGCCTCTCCACAAATCATCTGCAAGGGGAGGAGCTGCCTTGACATGCTTGTTAACTTAGCTCTGCGCACTGTAAGCGGCCCACAATAAATCTTTTGTCTCACAGTTACTTAGGTAGGTCCTCACTTATAGGAGAGAAGTGGAATATAAAGTTGTAGTGTAGATTAGTGTTGATTTTTAGCACTAATAGAGGAAATGAAAAAGGAAATTAGCTCTAATCAACCATTTTATTCGTGCTGGCACTTTCAAATAACATGCTATGGATTGAATTGTAAGGACTGCAATACACAGTCTAAATAAACTTACCAGGTTTTGAGGCGGTTTCATGGGCATGGAAGAATTTGATATGTAAAGGTCTTAGCAACAGAAGATTTTTGAAAACTGTAAGTCTTTTTTTGGATATTTTCATAGACATTAGGTCTGGAAGGGACCTTGTGAGATCATCGTGTCCAGCCCCCTGCCCCAGGGGCAGGAAGTCAGCTGGGGTTAGATCACCCCAGCAAGATAAGTATCCAAGCGTTTCTTAAAGGTATCCAGAGTAGGTACTTGCACCACTTCTGAGGGGAGTCTATTCCAGACTCTGGAGACTCAGACGGTAAAGAAGTTTTTCCTTATGTCCAGTTTAAAATGGTCTTCCAGCAGTTTGTGACTGTTAGGCCTTGTCTTCCCTTGGGGTGCCCTGGTGAACAGACATTCTCCCAGTTCCTGATGCACACCCATTATATACTTATAGGCTGCTACCCAGTCACCCCTGAGCCTTCTCTTCTCCAAGCTGGAGAGTCCTAGGCTGAAGAGTCAGCCTCCTCTCATAAGGCCTGTTCTCTTGACCTCTAATCACATGCATGGCTCTATGGACTCTTTCAAGCTTCTCCACATCCTTTCTAAAGTGTGGAGCTCAGAATTGGATGCAGTACTCCAGCTGCGGCCTCACCAAGGCAGAGTAAAGTGGGAGGATGACTTCTTGGGTCTTGCTTGAGATGCATGGGTAGATGCAAGCCAGGGTTTTATTTGCTTTGCCGGATGTGGCATCGCATTGGTAGCTTATATTCATTTTGTGGTCAGTCATGACCTCCAAGTCTCTTTCGGTCGTAGTGCTAGTGAGTGTAGCACTGCCAAATCTATAGGTATGACGTGGGTTCTTTCTCCGGAGGTGGAGCACCTTGCGTTTCTCTGTGTTGAAAGTCATCAGGTTTTGATCCACCCACCTTTTAAGCCTGTCCAGGTCTGCCTGAATTGCCAGCCTATCCTCTAGCGTGGCTGAACTTCTGCATAGTTTGGTGTCGTCTGCGAACTTAGCCAATCTGCTTCTGACAGCCAGTGTGCTTTTGCAGATATGTAGTCCTCTAAACCAAGTGAAATTTAGAGTTCATACTGAATGTATGTGCAAGAGACTTAGAAGTAAATGTAAAACAGAAAAGTACTTGGGAAAATTCTGAACTGTACCATTCCTTTTTATCCTGATAATGGGGAGAGTACCATATTTACTTGAACAGAAGATGACCCTGAATATATGACCCCCAATAATTAGATTTTATATATGGAAAATTTATAGATTTGTCATAATTTTCCAGGTATAGGATTTAATTGTTGGCGGTTTGCCTTGAATTTGTCCTCCTCCCAGTGCTACAGCAGGGAAAATAAATCTGGGGGATCAGGAAGCCCCTTTGCTTTCTGCTTCCCCCTAACTTTTTCCACTGGCAGCCCCTCCCCCTCTCCTTACTCTTAGACCCTGCTTTCCTAGAGCATATGGAAGTGAGGAGCAAATTTGAAAACAACGACCTTGAAATTAGATATGGCTGTAGCAATTTATGTATAGTACCCATGCACTTAGCTCATCTAGAATCAGTGCATATTATCTGTTTTTGAACTTGCAGCAAGTTTTAAAATAGTTCTCCATATACACATTTTTAGCAGCAGTTTGGCACTTACTTATATGTGTAAAATTTTACTTCCCCTTCATTCCCACAGCAGAGCTGAGTCTTTCTTTCCCATTTCCAATTATTTCTTTTTCTTCACCAGCCTTAAATGCCTGGCAAACATCACAAAACAAGGCCCCGGACAGTTACCCAAAATCCTTCTGTTGCCCCCTCTCTCTATACCTGGAACATACGATTAGTGTGTCCTCACCCTCCATGAGGTGAAGCTAGACCAGGTTGTCCTGCACCTCATCTGTATATAGATTTTTGGAGTATCCCAGGACTTATGGTAAGAACACCCAGTTCCAGTCATAAGTCCTGGGATACTCCAAAAATCTATATACAGATGAGGTGCAGGACAACCTGGTCTAGCTTCACCTCATGGAGGGTGAGGACACACTAATCGTATGTTCCAGGTATAGAGAGAGGGGGCAACAGAAGGATTTTGGGTAACTGTCCGGGGCCTTGTTTTGTGATGTTTGTCAGGCATTTAAGGCTCGTGAAGAAAAAGGAATCATTGGAAATGGGAAAGAAAGACTCAGCTCTGCTGTGGGAATGAAGGGGAAGTAAAATTTTATTCAGTGTCATGGCTCACCATGACTTGGAAAAGAGTCAGTGGTGAGGGGGACTGCTTAATGGTTATTCCTATATGACTGATTCAGATGGCCTGCACTAATGTATACTTGTAGTTTTACTTCGCGGGAATGTGTGTATTTGGCGTATGCAGAATTGGAATACTATCGGAAGAAAGGGGAAGGGGAGTGGAAAGATGTCGATTGGAGAAAATTGTTTGGGTAGAAGGGAGGCGGGGAAAAAGAAGGGCGAAAAGGACTGATATACTGTATATTTATGTGTTTGGTGTTTTGTTTTTGAAGAAAATGATGTAAACGAGTATCTGTTTGGGATTTATGTGACGATGGGGACAGTTTGTTCAGATTGTTGAAACAAGGGAAAATGGGGTTTTTGATGTATTGACCTGTAAGTGAAGAAGCTGGTGTTCTTGGCTTTGTGATGATTTTGATACTTTTATAATAAAAAAAAAAAAAAAAAAGATTCCCATCAATATGTTTACCCAGTGTGAGCCATGTGTTTTATAGTCATGCTCAGTGTTGGCTGTATTTAATTAACTTCATAGTTGGTTTCTGTTGCTGAGCACATGCTGCTTTTGGCAGCAGTTTACTGATAGTGTATTAATAAGATTTTCTTGTATGTGATTATAAGAGGAGGGGCTTTATTCCTTATGCCAACTTGGGAGGGAAAACCTCATCTTGTATTTGAATAACTATGGTAAGTGTATCTGGAAATCTATAGGAAATTTCATGAAGGGTCCCCAAAGAATCTTAACTCTTAATCATTATTCTTGCCATATACCTAAACTTTTCCCAGAAGAGCTATTACAATGTATGAAAGGTCTCTAGCTGTGCAGCATGCTTGCTTTCTTTTAGAACTATTCACTTTTAGAACTATTCACACAAATGCAGAAGTTCTTTTACTTCATACTTCAGTATATCAAGTAGTAAGTGAGGGAGGCACAAAATGGTATAGGTCAAGATGAAGCTTGGGTGCTTTATAAGTCTCAGATATATTTATAGTACAGTATAGTTTGGAGGGGATGGCGGAGGCTACTAAAATCTGTAGGCTAATATCAGGACTGGGTTATTTTGAACTAATTGTTGAAAAGTGTAACATTTTCATGTTGCTCTGTTTTTGCTTTTTAATCTAATATGTCTAGCAGAAAATACTTTTTGGAGGGGAAAAGATAGGTTATTCTTTGTGTCTAGGATCTAGTGATGGAGACCCATGACCACTTTCTAGATGATTTTATATTTTCATGGTGTTATTATTTGCATTGAGAACTTGTATCTCCTGGCGGACTTCAGTGCCAGAGTTGGTGTAGACATTGAGTCCTGGCCAGTTTGCCTGAGCTCACATCTACCGGAAGTATGAATGAAAATGGACACAGGCTGTTGGAGTTTTGCTCCTTTCATAATTGTTCCTCACCAACTTGTTTTTTTCAAATGAAACTGTGCCATAAGGTATCACAAAGGCACCAAAGATCTGGCCACTGGCACCAGTTGGACCTTATTATCACTAGGCAGTCCAAGCTCAGTAATACCTGCCTTACTTGTAGGTATTGTAGTGCTGATTGCGATACTGATCACTTGCTTCTGGTCACTAAATTCAAACTGAAACCCAAGAAGATCTGCTCTAAGTATCAGTGTTTGCCACTCATTAACATCACTGTGGCAGAGCACAGGGTGTGTCTGCCACTTTAAGGGCCTGGAGCTGGCAGCCTCCAGGTGCCTGATTAGGGCAGCCATTTTGAGGCATGGGCTGGACCTGAAACTGCACCCTGCCGGGAGTGGGTGGTCTGGTGGGGCTCTCAGTGTCGCGGGAGCCCCCAAGAAATGCCAGGCCAGTTATCACCCCGGTGAAAGGCGGGTCAGGGCGCCTTAACCCCTAGCTCCCACCACCACTGGGTGGGTTACCCTTGTGTTTGTTGGGGGGCCCAGAGGGCCAGTGTTGTGAGGGGCCCAGAGAGGGCAGACCCCGAGAGCATGATTGAGTACAGGGCGTGGTGCCGCGGTTGCCCCTAGGAGAAAGGGAGTAGTGGCACGGTGAGGCCCGAGGATGCGAGTGAGCGGCTAGAGACCCAGCCTGAAGGGGAGAGTACCCTCGACTGGCCCAAGCTGGGGCCAGGACTATGGGAGTCAAAAGGGCCAGGGGGCCCACCGCGAGGGACGCCCAAGAGCCAGGGGCCTGGGGTCCCGACTGGCCTGGAGGTGGGCCAGGGCAAGTGGC